GTCCTGTAGGGAACTGCTGGGCAGGGAAGACTTGCATCTCGATCATTAAAAGCAGAACATGGTCACTCTTTGTGTTAGGTTCCTGAGAGCAGCAGTTTGGCTTAAAACATCTGGTCCTCATGCATTCAGCCACTGCATCTGTGCTGGGAGAGAATTTGACTTCAGAGTCCTCTTTGGAGTCAGGCTGTGGTTTCTGATCCTGCTCTGCACTGGAAGCTTCCCACTGATGTGTGGCTCCTGCTGGGTTCTAGAAATGGACTGTCCATGTTGTGCTGCCCATATCCTCATCAGCTCTGCAGGAAATGCCTCAGGAAATGGGAATAGGAAGGAAAATGCACAGAGCAGATGAAATCAGAGATGGTGCCTACTAAGCAGCCATGTGAAGCCCCACTGTAGACTGATGTCCTTTCTGCTTCAGATGGACTTCTCACAGGGAATGAATCTAGGTGATTCTATCAATTGCGGGCATATGGAAACAAGAGGCAGAGATAGTATATTGATGTCAAGTATTCAGAATTTCACATTTTATTTTATCATATTTAATGGGGAAAGGATAAGTTTGAAAATTGTATTTCTAAGTGATATATCTTCCTAGACTGAGGAAATTAAGGGAAAATAACTTTAGAAGCAAAGATAATTATATTGTGGACAGTTCTTACTGCATTACTGGAAAGAGATGCTCTTCCCAGACATGCTGGGCTCAAGGTAATCTTTGAACAACTCAAGAACTGTTGTCCAGATAGCATAAAGAATCACATATTTAATTACTTTGGTAAATGTAGTCTTTCTAATTTTAAAAATTCCTTCAGTTTCTTTTTCCTGAATGTAGCACAGAAGGATCCTGGGGAATATTTTCAGATTTTGAAGAATCTGAAAGCAAAATTGTATACAATTCTAAAAATAAAATAAATAGCAAATCATTAATCACAAGAACAATTCAATTGCTTTGAATTGCACAATGTTGGTCTTGGCCCATGTGTCCCTCAGACAAATGTGTTTGTAACTGACTCACATATCAGAAAAGAATTTAGGAGCAGTGTAAGAGAAAAGCTATGTAAAGTTATGTGGGAAAAAAAAAATAATGCTTTAATTTAAAATAATCATAGCTATCAGAATTCCTGACTATTTATGGTTGAAAGGTATGGGACATATTTCTCCTTCAGGCAGTGTGACCAGAGTATTAGATGTGAGATCTGGTGACTATGTTTATATCAAAAGCAGCTACCTGAACCTTTTCTTCTTGCGACCTTGTGATCATTTTTCCATTTGGCCTAGGTATTAAGTGAAGTGATTTAATTTCTTTCAACTTCAGTTTCCCTGTTAGTAAACTGGAGATATTGTGACTTAGCCAACTTTGACAGAAGCATGAAGAGAAATGTATAGGTTCTCAGTGCTGGTACAAATATTTTAATATCTCAGTTTTCCATTCCCCAAGAAAATATACATCTTATATTAATTTGTCATGATTTATAAACTGTATCAATAAATCATAAAGTAGCTAATTCTTCTCAAAGTTCTTTGCAGAGGATTAGAAATTCATGTTAAAATTCAGGTCTTCAGTCTTAACCTTCTAGTTATACTTCTTTCCAGTGTGGATCTCCATGAAAATAGTAAGCTTCGTTGTCATTGCTGTTCCCCTTCTCAATATCTCCTGCTTGGTCAAGTGTGTATTCATCAAAGTTCTTGTTTTGCTGTTATGTGACTGCTGGTGGCTTCTGTCAGATAATGCAGCTGTCTTGAACTCCCACATACAAGAAAAAAATACAACTATAGCCCTTTGAAGAACTCTTAACAAAATGTGCTTCTAATTAGATACATACAATAGAGAGTGTCAGATGGATTTGTTCACTGTCACAGACCTTCAGTGCTGAATTTCTTCAACAATTTGCTGAAGCACATAGAAAATAAGAGGCATCTATGACTGCATGTGATGCAGAGATAAGAGATGTGCCACATCTGAAATTTCTGAAATAAGAAGCAATGGGAAGCAGAAACATCCTTGTATTTCAAGACAACTAAACTCAGTGTTTATCCACAGAATTCAGGCAACAAGCACTTAATACAACATTTCAAAAGGAAGAAGTTTAAAATATACTTTTAAAATACCTTTTTAGCCTTATCTATAATCCAATAACAAGAGATTCTTGTTTAGAGAGTGTATCTAAATGGCAGATAAATGTGTCAGTTTTTTGGTGATAAACTTGGCAGTGAAAAAGAAAAGTTTTGTTTCTTCATGTAACTGCACAAGCAGTTCCAAAGTTATTTGGAGTCTTCTGTTGAATTTCTTGTGCATACTGAGCTTTTAAATCAGCTGTTGCTTACACCCAAAAGGATATGGTGTGCTATGAACAGCTGACCTAATGAAACCTAGTTTCCAGTGTCTCTCTCTCACATTTTTTCCACCTTCATGTTGACAGATAAATTATGATCTTGTAAGACTTTCTCTGTATAAGGACTTAATAGTGTCTATTCCCATTTGTACCCCCAATTTCCTGAAACTTTTGTGGATATAGTATCTTTGAATCTTCTTTCTTTTGTTCAATTTGCTTAAAATTGATCTGGAGCATAAAAAATGTTTCAAGGCAACAGAAATGGCATATTTCAGATCTTTAAGAAAGCAATCTAAATGTAGTATTTAAAATTTTTACTTTAAAAAGTCCAGTTATCTTCATGTGTCAGGAGTATGTTTATTATCTACATGAGAATATATAACATTAAAGTATTATAATAATTGGCAAAAAACAGCAAGGTAAAGTGCTGCAAAGTTGGTTAACAAAGCCAAATTAAGGTTATTGAATCTAAATTAATGTTTTCTTCTCTTGTTTTCTAGTTATAAAGCTCCATGTTACATGTGAAGAGGGGTGTACTGTGAGAAAGCTACAGGAAAATGAAATGCTTATTATGTTTAATGTCTCAAAGTTTTGTTTTAAAAAATGAAGTTTGTTAAGTCTCTCCAGCTGAACTAAGTTCCTATTTTCCAAAGTTTTATTAGCATCCCACATTCAAAGTGTAGATGTGGATTAGCTGAGCCATCTCTGGAGGTATTCTGACATCAACTGGATAAATCCCTGCAAAACTTGATCCATGCTAGCTGTGCTTTGAGCAGAGATTGGACCAGGTGACCTCCAGAGAGTTCTCCTGACCTAAATAAATCTGTCATCTGTGACCAGAAAGAGCTGACTTATAAAGTATATGTAATCTGTATTCTTTAAATCTCCTGAAATTATTTCAGTATAAAGCAATTCAAGCATTTATAGCTGTGTTAGCTTCCATTAAATCAAAACTATTTTTATCATAACTTTTTAAAATCTGAACATGATTTAACTAATAGCTAGGCTGTCTGGAAATTATTTTGTTGTCTATAAAAATAAGAAATTGGAACAGGTCTAAATTTGAGTCATATTGGATATAGTCTCACTTTAGATCCTCGGAAATGGCAGAATTGTTTTATTTTCACATTATCTAGAAGATTAGGTTGAAAATGCCATATTGAATAATTGACAGTGTGATGCAGAACATCACTTGCAAGAGAAATGCAAGAAGAATCTTGCATATGTCGTTACTGAATGAAGAGAAAGAGATTGTCATTCATGACAATCGTGTCTTTTTTGGTATGGAATGGATAGTACACAGTTCAAAATATACTCTGCTTATTCAGAATGTGAACACATGGAGGTGTGCAGAAAATTGTGCTTCCTGATTTGGAAAAGGAGCTATCAAAATGTAATCAGTATGGTTTGGAGAAGAGGCTGCAAGACATGAAGAGTAAGTCTGTAAACACTTGTGAGAAGTGGGGTGGTGTACAAAAGGAGAAAGCAGCTCTCAGCTATAGCAGGTAGGGAATGGTGTCCTATCGCTGTCGTATCTCACATGTATACAAGGCCTTGTGGAATGAAATAAAAAACATGCAAAACTGAATTGTGAGCTAGAGGATGACTACAGCAGCCATCAGAAAAGCATTTGAAGATCCTGAAGTTTATTAGATGGTGGAATAATTTGTCAAGGGAAGTTCTCAAATACAAACACTAGATAAGAGTAGCAACAGCAGGTCAAACTTTATTATACAGGATCCTCCAGCATTACAGCAGGGAAATGTACTTTCCAGTCCTAGCACATAAGGTCTTATGAATACAAAACAGAAGCAGAATAGTGGACAGAAGTTGAGAAAAAATGTATTCCATTACTCAAATCAGATACATGAATAAGATGTTTGGCAACTACCAATGAACGGATATTGTTTAAATATGAACTCTTCTCCTATACACTCTAAGACAAAATGAAAGAAAATTAAAGTAATATTTGAAAACCCCAAAGAAACTGGCAATTTAAAGTGAAGTCTGCCTCTTGAAGATGTTGAATAATTATGAACCGTGCTTTGTAAGGTCACAAAATAAATTGTGGCAGGGTTCATGAACAAATTCCCCCATATTTTGTAGAAATACTGCAAAAAATAGATAGATAGATAGATAGATAGATAGATAGATAGATAGATAGATAGATAGACAGACATATATTCTTTAGGTTATATATATATGCTTGATTTCCTGAGACTAAATCTGAAGTGTTGAAAAGATCCAGTGCTAGTTCAATTAGGCTGTTATTTAGTAAGTTATATATGAATGATCAGTTCTGCACTTATAATTAATACAATAATATAATAACTACTAATAATAACTTTGATATTACGTGCCTCTCCATTGTAGCATTACCCATTAGAACAAAAAGAAAGAGATACAGATTAGTCTCAAATTAAAATGTAATATTTATCAACTGTTTCCTGAGATGCAGGTTTTCTGGTATGACTGAGAACTCACTAGGTCACTCAACACTGTGTCAGGGAAAGGGAAGGATTTATTTGTGATTCTCTCTTATGTGTAACATTTTTATTCATAGGCACCATACATATAATCTGGTTTTGTCTTGGATTGAGCTAATGAACTAAGTTTAACTCAGTTGGGAGTGGAATTGTTAATTCTGTGTTTCTCTCTTCCTCCCTGCAGTATGCTATCTGGCTGGTCCTTTGGGTTACATGGAACGTGTTTGTTATCTGCTTCTATTTGGAGGCTGGAGACCTTTCAAAGGTAATTTACCACTGGATACATTTAAGCCATCAACTCTTAACATGCCCCAGGCTGTGCTCTTTTTTGCTCATTCTTTTAGTGTTACCTAAATGAATGTTCTAGTATGATGTAAATTTGGAGTACTCTGGGTATGTTAGAAACTTTTAAACCAGACAGTAATGAGCATATACATTCTGATGCCCACAACAATAATTGTATATATTCTTTAAAAGAAAATCACCTCTTTTTGTTCCCCTCAGTAGTCCTGCAATGCAAATTTCACCCATGCGAGAGACATTAATTAATGATTTCATGAATACAAAACATTGCCATCTCAGGGACAAACAAATATTTATTGTACCTTTAATCTTGCTGTTACTTAGCTGGATTCCTTTCAGGGGTCTTACACATAGTATAATAGTTGTAAAAGAAGGGGTCCTTCATTAAATTAAGATGTAAACTGAGGTGCCAGAACAGATTGCCATTTGGCTTCATCAGTGTTTTTTAAACTTGTTTTTCCGGTGCAGTTGTTTTCCTTGAACACTTATACACAGTAAAAATCCATAGGAAAAATATAAGAATGACATATTTATAGAGTTTTATTGGCAGTGTGATAAGACATAAATGGCAATTGGCCTCAAACCTCAAACTCCCAATTTCTAAGGTGTTCACGGAAAGCTGGCAATTTGTGGAATAAGATTAGCAGTGGCAACAACTATTTTTAAGGGCAATATGCTTCAACCGAGTCTAGATATTGCTGAATTATGCTCACAGTGCTATGAACTGACCATTAAGGAGAATCCCTTGTGTCAACTATATCACATTCTCTTCTTGACTCAGATTTTAATTTTTGTACCTGATTATAGGGAGTTTAGCTCAACTTTAAATTAAAGATGTAATCCTCTGATCCTTTGTGAGTTACTGATACCTTATTATGCAGAAGGTTAAACACAATTATTGGAAGAATAAATGAGGCACAGATACTTCCTTGCTGTTGTTTCTTTCAAATCACCCCCAAAGTACAAACTACTAGAGACAAGGTATTTCATCCCCATGTATTCTTTTTCTTCAAAAGCTGCTGACTTCAAAAGGATCAGAATTTCATTTCCTGAGGGTGTAAAGTAATGTTCTGCAGGTAAAACGTTACACTTTTCTGGTTTTATGCTTTCAGACAGGCCCAATATCATTAAAAGCTTGGCAAAAATATAGAAAATAAAAGAACTTGCATGTATTATCTTTTATTTGGTCAAAATTCTTTCTTTGTTGCCAGGATAACTATCATATATAACAAACCTGGAAGGTGTTGTACAGTTATACTCAACCCAATCCACTCTCTTGCCACCTGCTTGTTTCAGCCACCTGCATTCCAAAATTTGTAAATGTTGGGATGCTTATCTTGCCTTGGCAAGTGAATTGGGTTGGGAAAAAATGGAGAAAGGAGAAGTAGCTGTTTGAGCACTGGGTATAAAAACAGTGTAAGAACACTACTAAGTGCTAGTTGGAATAAAAATGGGCCACAAACAGTATTTAACATTGAAATTATTTTTTTTCTGAAGTCTAGAATTCATCATCTGGAATGTTTCCTAAACAACAGTAGGGTTCAGGTCTATATTTGAATGTAGTTTAATCTTTTATTTGGTCTCTAGAGATATTATTTGCTCCAGTGATACGATCTGCCTTGAAAAACCAAGTAGAGTATATTCTTTCCACTTCAGCTGGCTTTCAGAGCACCAGAGTTGGTAAAGAGAGGGAGAAAAAGAAAAATTCTGAGAAAAATGGATTGTAAAACATGGTAAAGATCACCTCTACCTACAAAAGATCTAATTCACTTGTGGGGCATCATTCTCTTCTCCTTTTCAACTCAAATGGTATGTCAAGACTTTCCCACATGGGAAATATTCTAGAAGATCTATCACTTGGAAATACATCTAATGCAAAGATACCCAACTGTTCGTGTTGATATAATGTACCCCTCCATTCTAGACCCTTTAGAGGCTCTGGCTATTTTACATATACAGAGATGTAGGTATCTTAGAGAATAGATAATTTCAAGTATAATATTTCTCAGGCATATTCATAAATCTTGCACTGAATCTTCTCTATTATTTATATTTTCATCTAGGAATAACTGCAATTTTAAATCTTTGGTGGTAAACCTGGATATTTTCTTTGTTTGGAATGGCACGTAGAACCTTGAGAAAAGCTCTGGGTCTGAACTGGCTCTAAATAGAGAATGAAAAACAACCTTTAGGCAAGTACCAGAGGGATGCCTCTGAGGTTGTAAACCATGAGAGAGAATCTGTGCAGCACAGCTTTAAGAATTGATAGGTTAAAATTACAGCCTAATAATAGTTCAGATGGGTATAGTTTATTTTTATATGTATTATTTATAGCTTGCTACCAAATAAAATAAAAAATAAGGCTGATGTTTTTTCCCAAAGTTTTGAGAAAGCTTTTATTCTATGTGTGGAACAATTTTTCTATCATCACCTGCCGAGACAATGAAGAGGACATATTTCAATTGTTAATATACTTATTTTACTTGTGGGGTGGAGGTCATGACATTTTTACAGTTTCTCCTTGTTATACTGAAATAGGCCTGTAAAAACTCAGAAATATTTAGAATGAAACAACGAGATATTAATCTCTAAAGAGACTGAGGAGATTCAAGGGCTATTTGTGGACATCTGTGTAAATCTGTTTGCATTATACACCATTACAATCATAGGTATCTTGTGAAAAATGGTGTCACACTAAGCATTTTCTGTCCTTGAGGTACAGTTATCTTTGCTGAAACTATCACAGCAAGATGGAATATTTATGGCTTTGTAAGAAAGGTTTGTAACAAAGAAGAAGTAAAATCACTTGTTCTTAACCTTGATTTGTATGTGCATCTGTGAATAAATGCTTAGAAAACCCACTTCTCAGACTTACTTTTTGCTTCAAAAATATTTAATTAGTCTGTGTGTTGTTTTGATTGCTGGTGACTGCCATACTCTATAAGGAGGACGTTAAGGTGTCAGAACTGGTAATATTTATTTTGATATGTGGCTGAGCAAATGTAGCACATAAAAAGCGTAACTTCTTATCTTGAATGAGGCACATCTGAAGTACAGTAGTGAAACAAAGAAAAAAAAAGGAAAACATAATAGAAAGCATTTCTGAGGAAATGTAATATTCCTGTGATTTTTTTAAAGCCAGGAAAGTACACAAGGAGACGGATTCAGCTATCTCAGAACAAGAACAGAAAATACTCATGTGATTAAGAACAGCACTCTTGATTCAAGGCATTTGAAAGCTTGCCCTAATGATGTCTAATGATACCACAAGCAGAAAATAAGCAGAATGAGAACTATCATACTCCCATTTTTGGTTTTGAAATCAGTAAACATTTTTTGCTGAAAGAAACCCTTTCCTGAGGTTGCACTGGTCCCATGGCAAGCGTGGGAGTGGAGATGCTGTCACAGTCAGTTGCTGGAACTCAAGGCAGAGGCTGGGTTTGGGGTGCTGAACAAGGGGGACCAGCTGGGACTCAGGGCCCAAAGCAGCTCTTGCTGCAGAGTCCCATCCTTGAGTCAGTACCTCTGGTTCTCGTTGCATCCAGTTCTATTCGTGTGACCAGATCCAAGAGTTCTCCTCTCACTGGCTGAGCTGGAATCACCTGGCTGAGCTCTGGAATCACTTTACTGTAGTCCCCAGTGTACTATGTGAATATGACCAAGAGTATGTTTCTGAAAATCTCATTTTAACTGTCAAAATTTGCTTAGTTTCTATTTTTGTGGCATTTTTGACATCTTTTTTATTTAAACCTAATAATATACAAAATTTACATTTACTATACTAAGTCGTTAAGTTGTACTTATTTAGTTTTGACACAAAAATTAGGTGTTTGAAAGTCAAAAACTCTGGCGTCAAGAAATGCCAGAATTAAGATTACTTGACTAAGCGTGATTTAGATCTCTTGTACATTGACTTTTACATACCTTTTAATTATGAAGTCACAAGTGTATATTTTTCTTTAATCTCTGTGCCACATAGCCTATTTCAGAGATGAAGTTTTGGCAATTGAATGAGGCTGCCATACTGGATCTTACTCCATGTACTGCAGCAGCCAGAAAAAGCTTAATAATAAATATAAATGTAAATACTGTACTTCAATTCTGATCTGAAAACATGTGGAATAAGAAATGAAAGGTTAGGTACAGAACTCTGGTACCTATGATCTCTGAGAACAGAAGTGATATTGTGAACATAGATCACTAGGTGCATTCAAACTGTGGTTCCTCATTGCTCATTGTGCAGGTCTGAGCAACTGTTCGTAATTAAAAAAAAAAAAGTTTTTTCTGCATTCAAATCATGTTACTTCCTTTCCTCTATTGCACTATACTGCAACGGGGGAACATGAAAGAATAAGGTTTAAAAAATGCACTTATTTAAAATTGAAATTGTTAAATATAATACAAAGAACTGAATTTGCTGTAGTTATTAAAATGTAAACTAAAGGAAAACATGTAATCCGGTTGTTTTCTGTCAGAAGTTTTAAGAGAAATTAAAGGTTTCTGAAGACATTCTCTCCTCCCCAACACAAATAACTGGAAATATAAGATAACTTAGACTTACAAAATCACAGACTTATTCATGCTGGAAGAGGTCTCTCAAGGTCACTTAATCCAGTCTCTTGCTCAGAGCAGCACCAACTTAGAAGTTCTATCATGTTTCCCAGAGTTTTAGCCAGTCAAGTGTTAGAAGTCTTCAAGGATGGAAGTTTCACAACTTCTTCATTTCTTAACCATTCTCACTGTGAAAAATTTTCTCCTGCTATGCAGCTGAAATTTCAATTGCTGCAATCTGTGACATTGCCTCTTGTTCTTTCATTGTCTGCCTCTGAGAAGAGTCGTGCTCCACCTTTTCTAGCATTCCCTTTACGCCTAAGTGAAGCCAAGTACTTTGGCTTTCTCTTTGTTCTTTCTGTAGTTTACTTCCAATTTCCAACCACAGATAGTTTGTTGCATCTCACTAGA